GACGTTGACATGCAGGAGTACTTCATGGCTGAGAAGAGGGGAAGGAACCTGAAGAAGTACAAGTGTGAGTATCGACTCCTAAAACCCCTTCGCTTGCCTAAATTGCAATATTAATTCTTGTGGTCTAGTGGATAGGTCAGCGGACTGTTAACCACAAGGTACGGGGATCGAATCCCTGACACAGCATTTCCAACCCGTTTATCTACATTTGTCAAACAGGTGCGGTATATGGCTACCTGGTATGATTATTCCTTTAAATGCACTGCGAGCTTAAATCTATTGCAAAGTGTATAGATATGTCATACAAAGAGATTGATGCTAAAAACGGAATATTCTTATATTATATTCCCATTTGCTCTGAAATATAGAGTCAGAATATGATTTTCATAGTCGTTTTGTCTGGCTGTTTCCCGAGGTGCCTACAAGTTGTACGGAGGTGCCTCCACACGATAAAAGTATGACAGGGGCTTCTTTTCATTCTTTGTTTTATGACTGGCACCTAGTTCGGGAATGTATGACAGCGTATATATATATTTGTTTATCCATTTTTGTTTGGGTAGGGGGTGGAGGGGGAGCACCGCGTTTATTTGTGAGGGATGTAAACTCTTATACGAGGCGTCCCTGGGTCGAGCCTCGCTTGGGGTTTACAACCTTGGACATGGTTTGTTGCCCACATTCGTCCCACTCAACCGAAGTGTAATACTATAAACCTGGATTATGTAGCACTACGAAATAACGTCTCTAAGATATTATTACCCCGGTCATCATTTCATCTCCACTCCCTGGTGAGTATTCCTACCATATGGTCACCATATCGCAATTACTACCACAAAGGCAAATGGATTCCTGGCACTGCTGGAGTTATGATAATTGCATGGAAGAATAGTTGATGAGACTTTCTTGGATAAATAAAGTTATCATCATCATCAGCCTCATAATTGTTTGCAATGTTTCATTTTTATCTACAGCCTGCGAAGGACTTTCAGGACAAGCTTGCCTGTGCCACAGGAAAACCCACAAATACGTCTTCTGCAGCGGTAAGTTTGTTTTTCGAGAATCACCTTTGATATGGAAGACTATCTTAACAACTCTCGAAAAATCAATTTAGAGCAATACCAATAGCCTTGGCTATTAGCAATTGGAATGAACATTAGAGTGATCTATTGCGTAATCTTCCTATGACATGGCTATAATAGAGGGCATTGAAATTGATTTCGACTTGATTTTTCGAAAACATTTGCGATCTTTTTCTGGTGGCCTTAGTCATAGGGGGTGTGTGTGTGTGAGTGGGAGGGGTGGCTCTTAACCACAGGTATCGTGTACTCCTCTATTTGGTCTTTACTCAAAGAACCCGATCGCTAATTCGCAAACGGTATTTTTTTTCCACACCCATAATGAATTTTGATTTAGAACCTCGAAAGGGGGAGATCTAAACACGAAATCTAACACTAATACCAAGTTTAATATTTAATGACTTTAATCTGTTATGAGATTTTCTATGCAGAGCAAATTAGAGAGGAGCTTGAAAGATACGTCACATTGTTACCAATTTGTGTTTCACTGATGAAAACTTCAACTTCGTAACTTTCCTTTTTTAAATCGGATATTGCTCAAGCCTTTACTTCTTGGTTTCTATAATTGTTTCTGCTTTTATTAAAATCATCTTAATATTAGGGTGAAATTCCCCTTTGAAGACTGAATTCTCTTAATTTGAAAGGCTGGCTACAGGAGCTCCCCGATTTCCTAAGACAGGGGATTAATATATTATGATTAATTACTATAACAAATTCTAGTCTTTAGATTTTATGTATCTTTTATTTTATTCAAAAACAATTTATTGATGAAGAAATCTTTAGCGGTTTGTGGGCATTTTCATTTTCATTTTTTTTTTTTGGGGGGGGGGGGAAGGGAGGGGGGGTACAAAGGATAACATAAAATCAGGAACATGGAATAATAAGTTGCATTGAAATAGTTGTTGAAAAAATATTGGAATAAATTATACTAAAGGATTCTTTAAGCATATAGTTATACATTTAAAATTTGTGAGCATAATGTGGAACCATCGTTACTACATTCGGTACGAATAAGAGACAAATGCGAATATATTGATAAGTATTTATTATCAGTGCAGAGAGAAATCTATCAAAGCGACCACCTGTATAGAAAGACCAGCTATCTATTGAGACCACAGAATTATGTTGATTTACAATAGAAAATAATATCAATGGAACCTTAAAATTGAAAAGATATTTTTCTAGTCTCCCTTGAGTGGTCTTTATAGGCAGGTTTTAGGGATTTAGGTTGCGATCTAATCCGACTGAGTCAATACCATTTTGATTTTTTGATTTGATTTTTTGATTGTTATTGACAGGAGCTGGGAATGGTGATGCCATGTAAATGCTATCGTTTTTGTGACTACTTGACCTGGAGACCGCTTGGACCGACAATGGAATTTCAATGACACGTAGTAATGATATGATTGGCACCCCCGTTTGGCGACACTTGTGTAAATGCTGAACTATACCTCCGTGTCGAGTGTGTTTGGGTCAAAAAGCCATTTACTTTCTTTTCTGAAAGAAGGTATTATGGTATATTAAAGACTAATTGTTATAATTTATGTTTCTAAATGGTATTTTATGGTTTTCCAGCGTATTTTGAGATGTAGATATATTTTAAATGGCAAACAAGATGTTTAGATTTGTAGATAGGTGGGTATATAGTTGAAAAGGAAAAAAAAAAGGGAAAAAAGACAGAGAAAGAGAGAAGAGAGTAAGAAAAAAAGTCAAAGAGACAGAGATTCAGATTTCGACATGTCAGATCAGAATAGATAGATAGGAGAGAAAAAGAAAAAGAGAGACAGAAGAGAGAGAGAGAGAGAGAGAGGAAGAGAGTATGTGTGTGTGTGTGTGCGAGAGGGTGAAGGGTACAGTGATTGATGGGAGATGTAAATAAAAAGAAGAAAACCAGCAGAGCAAAATCAAAAGAGATATACATGATGTAGTAAGACAAAACACAACAAAAATGAATGGCCGGGTATGAGTTTGTGTGCGATTTTCTTTTTAAACCAGATTGTAGAGAAGAGGCAAGAAGAAAATGGAGAGAAAGAGAGAGAGAGAGAGAGAAAGAGAAAGAAAGTGAAAGAAAGAGGGAGAAATTGAGGGAAAGGAGGCAGAAATGGAGAATGGTATAGTATAAGATACCATGATGAGGCTATTTTAAGAAGAATGGAGAATAGTGAAACAAATAATCTGTGTAGAAGCATTGATTTACGAAAAGTGTGAAAAAGCGACAATATGGTTTCAAAATACACAAAATCTTGTGATTTTGATAAAGAGATTAATTCATCTTTAAAATAATACTGATCTGCCAAAGAAGCCATGATAATTAAACGATCCCCAAAAGACACAATACTTACAAAAAAATGGCAAAAAAGAGGCTTTAAGTCACACACAAAGTAATTACAAATCCTTGTGTTTTTATCAATTTTCAAAAAAGAAAAATTATGATAATTGCCTAGTGATTCCCATTAGTGATTTGTACAGGCGCGTAGCCAAAGGGGGGGTCGCCCCCCAAAAAAACGCCGGACAAAAAAAAGGAGAAAGAAGAGAAAAAAAGAAAGAAAGAGAAGAAAAGAAGGAAAAAAGGACAGAGAAGAAAAAAAAAGAAAAAAGAGAAGAGAAAAAAAAAAGAGGTCGAAAAAGGAGCAGAATTGTTTTAAAAATTCATTCATGGGAGGGGGAACTGAATTCAGACAAGCATTAAGAGTCGAGAATTTAATGAAACGTCAAAGCTTCCGCGTTTTGCAAGGGAGAGGGGGGGGGGGGGACTCCCCCTCCCTGCACCCACCCCCTAAATATCGTTATCGTTGATAGGTGTACCTGCCATCGCTGTCATTTTGCTGTAACTTTTGGGGTATCACTTGGGATATACACCTTTTTTCCAGCTTTCAAGAACATTGTATAAATTCTTCAGTTAATCTATATAAGCTGTTCACTTAAGCTATGGTCACATCACCTAAAAGTAGCCTGCTCGGCGGCCGGGCGGCGAGTTATGAGCCAATTTCACCCAGGCAACGAGCGGCGGCCGCCCGGGCACCGCTTTTTTTTTTTTTTAGGGCATCGCTTGGTCGCTGCTGAAGTTTTAGCGCGGAGTTAAAATTCTGGCGGCGCCTGCTCACTTTCACTCGCCGCCCAAAGTACGCTCGGTGCCCGGGCAGTCGCCGTCCGGGCACCGGCCTAATCGAGCGGTCGCCGTCGAGCGATTTAGGTCAAAAATCGAAGCCGCTAGGTCAAAGGCTGCTGAGCGTTCTCCGCCCGGTCGCCGCTGGGAGATTGATTGTTTTCTTTGCTGAAGAAAAAAATCCTTTCGTATCGTTTTTTTATTAGCAGGTCTAAGGGTAGTATATTTAGATGAAAATCGACTAGACGAAGTGCTTCAAAGGTGATGTGAGATACGTCACAGGACTACGGATCACAAGGTACGTGGTTCAAGTCCCTGCCACGGACATAATATCGGTGTATCAGTTTTGTATGGAAAACTGGCCGAGTGAAAGAGCACGAAGATTTGGGGGCATCCTATCGGAAACTCATGTAACACCGGGTTAGAGAGAGGCAATGCAAATAAAAAGCCCCGCTCAAGAATACAAAAAAAGCGAACAAAAACAAAAATATTCTAACAAACAAAATTCATAAAAGGAAACTTTGACGGAAATAGATTTTCTAGGTTCACAGAATATTAAGCGGACTATGACGACATAAGCTGTCAACTAGTTCAACTTCGAAGAAACTGACTTGGCTATCCAGTCATACCTCATTAAACACACAACCGGGCCGGAAAAAATGTGTCATTTGTTTGACTGTCTTTGCCGCCAAGCTTGTTCCCTATGAAGAATACTTTCTTCAATTCTTTAAACATCTGTTATAATGATAGCAATTGTAAAGGCTCAAGACCGACTAATTTGTTTTCGAGTGAAGCGGCATACATGACAGAAACCAAATCAGGATTTAAGAATCATGATTTTTTTTTTCTTCAAATAATTTCTTATAAATAGACCGGGACATGAAAGTGATTACCAATAACTGCTGCAAGTCTCCTTCCTACTTTCATTCGGTGAGTTTAAAACACGTCTCACACACATTTTTGCATTCATGTATTTATTTATTTGTTAGTTTGTTTAATTATTTATTCATTTATTTGTTTATTTATTTATGCATTTGTATTTCTGTCTATGTTCCTGGCAGCACCAGGCTTGTGATCGGTTGCCATATAAATAAACTAAGTAGTAATTATAATCTGCATAAAATTCCTAAAGGAAGAGGAAGAAGAAGGAGAAGAAGAAGAGGAAGATGACGAAAGAACAAGAAGAAGAAGAAGGAGGAGGAAGAGGAGGAGAAGAATCAGAAGAACATGAAGAAGATGAGAGACAAAAATCAAACAAATATAATTGGAAAATTGTTTTGATGTGCCCTTTCTCTAGAATTTAGCAAACCGACCAATCAAAATGGCCAAGGCTCTTTTCTTCGTACTCGCTTGTGCACTCGTCGTCGCCGCCCTCGCTGAGTTCGAGTTCGATGACGAGACTGCTGCTGACATCGAGTTCATGAAAAGGGACGCTGACATGATGGATTTCTTCGACGCTGAGAAGAGGGGAAGGGGAAGGAGCATGAAGAAATACAAGCGTGAGTACAATATGAACCACACTGCATCAAATCTTAAATTACATTTCGTTTTTACGAACGTTCATCATTCCGAAAGTTCCTTATTCCGAATGTTCATTATACCAAAGGCTCGTTACTTCTCATTTCACAATTCTGAAGATTCGTATTTCCGATAATGATATAGAACCTTGTATTGTTTTTCGGAATAACGAACCCATAGAAAAACGAACCCTTTGTTATTTTTAGGAATTACGAACCCTATATCAGTTTTGGAATTATTAATACAATACTACTACTACTACTAATAATAATAATAACAAAAATTGTAATAATAGTGGGTTCTTCGATAGCAATTATGTCTGTCAGACTTGACAATCCTGGCGCTCCACAGGTTTTCCCCCGGCATTAGCATGGCTGTAAGTGTAGCATTTCAAGAAATTAATACCTGGAATTCACCTGGGTCAAGTGTGGGAAATGTATATTAATGTCTTGCCAAACGACAATACTGCCGTGGCAGGATTAGAACCACAAATCATGTGATCCACCGTCTGGTGACAAATCCACTAGACCATGGCACCTCCACTAATGAACCCTATTTTATTGTTGGAAGTACGAAACTTGGGAATAATAAATTCAATTTAACTTTCGGAATTAGGAACCTTGGTCAAACGAACCTTCGGAATAACGGACTCTATTTCACGTCCGGAATTATGAACTCGATTTCCTTTTCTGAATGATAAAGCCCCATGGTATGGGAAATTCGTGTTTCGGATTTACGACCCTTCGGAAAAGCGGACCTTCGGGAGAACGAGTGGACCCCTCTCAAACTTATATCCTGGTCATACCGACAAAACCAGCAGCAGACCGACCGCAGACTGACGACAGACCGATCAAAGAGATTACACAACCCCTATTGGGCAAGTTTTGGGGTTGGTCTGGGGTCGGTTCAGCGGCGTGTCGAAGCTTTTAGTATGTTAAGTTCTGGTGATAAAATAGCATTAAGAAAGAAAATGGTTTAAATTATAATGCAATAGGTGGGCTGTTTGCGTTAGAAGCGAAGTAGGTGTTAGAATGATTAAGATTCGACACTTTTGATCGATATTAACTCTTAGGTTAAGACTATCAAACTAAAGTTTGTGCATTGTAGTGAGGAAGGATATAAAAACATATCTCTCCCAGCAATCTTTTCAAAACAAGTATTTGGATTTAAAAAAATAGATGTTATTATGATCGCAAAGACATTCATCGCATCACCATGAACCAACTCTGATTTTGCACGATTATTCAGGCTTTTTGAAGCAAATGTGATTTGGACAAGGATCCGTCATTTTGAAAAGTGATACACAATGTTTTGAGTCCATTATTTAGAAAGGAGGGAAGGAATCTCTTGCCCTAATGTCCATTCATGAGTAGCTAAATGTTGTGAGCAATCAATAATGTTTGCAATTTACTATAATAAATGCTGTACACTGTAAACTCCAAACTCGATTAAGCGTTGTTTACTGACGTATTTTGGTCCCAAAGATCCAAACGCATGCACTAACACTTATTTGTCCCCAAAAATACAACCACGAGCAACACATACATGTAAAGGTGTTAGTATCCACATTGGTTATGATATATAGGCGTGAGTATTCAAACACTTAAAACACAGGTAGATTAGCAGTTAGCAAACAGTTTTGTCTCTTGCTGTTAGAATGGTTTATCCGTTGTGAAATTGGTCAAGATAAGTAAGCGTTTGTAAACACGCTGCTGCTAACAGTTCAAAGCAATAATATCAGAAACAATTGGTTAAATCGTTTAAATACGAGCTCATATATATATATATATATATATATGGGTCAATTGGTGTAAAATTAAAAAACTAACTGTTGCCCAGATATTCGTAAAATTCTACATGGTTCTCGATTGAGGGGTGGTATCTCCTGCCCCCTCCCTTTATTGTGCAACAATGCACTCATACTGTACTGAAGAGGTGCCGTGTTATTATAGTGGTTCATTCAATTGAATCTCAATCCGAGGGTGTAGGGCTCATACCCTATCTTGGAACCAACGTTCTTTGGGAAGAATTTATTGCAAATTTGCTACTCTCCATTAAGGTATAAATAGGTACCTGGCAATGGCATGGGTAATAATGATTGCTGGGACCGCATGAAGAGCAGTTTTTAAACTGATATTGGCTACCCTTGGTTAAACAAAAGTTAGTTTGAATGTTATTTGATTTGATGTAATTTGTAATGCAAATTCTAGAGGCACTTTGCAATTTACGGTATAGAGATACTGTATATTATTATTATTATCATTATTATCATTAGTAGTATTATTATTATCGTTATTATTGTTATTATTATCATCATAATCAGCATCATTTCCATCATCATCACTATCATTATTATTATAATATATACTATTGTTTAATGAAATATTCATATTTATCTCTTAATTATCAACAGATTGTCAACAGTACAACCAGGCTTGCTGGTGCAGCAGGAGATCCGGCAAGGTTGTTTTCTGCAGTGGTGGGTTTAGCCAAAGAAATATACTAATTCAAAATAAAGGATTCATTGATTCATTTTTATTTACATACATGTTGTGTAAGTTAAAAGTTTGAGGGGATCTTAAAGAGAGAAATGTATTCTTTGTTCATCAAAGAATTCACGGCCACAAGAACATTTGAAGATGTATATAACAGGAATTCTGAAGTTCAGTTATGTAGCAGAAAAGCAAATATTGACAGGAAACAAATAGGGCACTCAAATATTGTTTAATAAACCTAATTATTTATGCACAGAAAAAAGGGGCCGTTTCTTGCTCCTATGTGACTAAGTCCTTCAAACTTTTCTTAACGGTTTTCTACTTTCTTAAAAGTACACAGAAGTAAGGTCGAAATGTTTTATCACTCATGCCTGTTTTATCAAAATTGTTCCGATTTTCTATTTGGCTATCTGATATATTTTTCAATAGAAATTCTTACCTTTTGTTTTCCGTTTCTCTCCCGTTGTAATCTCATTTGATTTAAAACACTTCTCTTTCCTTTTGTGATCCATTACATTTTTCTTTTACCCAACAAAGTGTCGACGTCATATTATCCTGTTTTTGTTTCTTTACCTTTTACAGGAGCTGGAACTGGAGACAACATGTAATTATTCGTTGCTGCCTGGATCGATTTCGGAACTACTTCGGATCTCCGTCGCATCTACTTCGGATGACGTCGGATCTCTTTCGATTCGGCATCATAGCTATAATTTCAATATTTGCTTGATTGAATTGAATTCAGTATCTCGTTCACTTTATCTTAATTGGACAGTAGCCATGTCTTTGTAATTCATACCATTAAAGTACAAAAAGGTGAAAAAGAGTAAAATCTACATTATTCTATTTTCAGCTTTGTACGAGAGAGAAAGGGAGAAAGGAGAGAGAGAGAGAGAGACACACACACACACACACACACACACATACACACATATTAATGGAGGGAGAGAAAGAGAGAGAGGGGTAGTGAAACATTAAAGACGGAGAGCGAGAAACAGAGAAGAAAATGAGACAAAAAAAGAGGAAGGGAAAAGACAAGAGAAATTGAAAGGGGTCCATGTGAGGATGGTATATATGACGTAGAGAAAGGATTACAGTGTCTTGATTTATACGACAGAATTTAGAGAGATTAAGGAAATGAAACATACTAATAGAGCGAGAGAGAGAGAGAGAGCGCGCGAGAGAAAGAGAAAAGGAGAGAGAGAGGAGAGAGAGAGAGAGAGAGAGAGAGAGAAAGAGAAAAGGAGAGAGAGGGAGAGAGAGAGGGGGAGATAGACGTCTCTGGTGTCAAGTAGCATAATCATCAAATGAAATTATACATCTGGCAAACCGATATTGACTATCTGCCCTTTGAGAAAATATAATGGAACGAAATGATATAAGTGTCGAGCATGTAATAGTAACATCGTCCTTTCAGTCAGAAAACTGTTTTATGAATGTAAATTATTATCAGTATTCTTTTAATCACTATTACTTCGAGTAGCTAGTAGTAATAATTGTTGTAGTTGTAGTAGTAGAAGTAGTAGTAATAGGAGTAGGAGTAGTTGTTGTCGTAATATGAGTTTGAGTTTGAGTTTGAAATAGAAGTAGTAGTAGTAGTAGTTATATCAGTTATAGTAATAGAAGAAGTTGAAGTAGTAGTAGTAGTAGTAATAGTAGTAGTAGTAGTAGTAGCAGTAGTAGTAGCAATAGTAGTAGTAAAAGTAGTATTAGTAGTAGTAGCAGCAGTCATTGTTGTCATTGTAGTAGTAGTAGTAGTCGTAGTTGTTGTTGTTTAAATTTTAGTCTAAGTTATTAGACATAATAATAATAATAATAATAATAATAATAATAATAATAATAATAATCATAATAATAATAATAATAATAATAATAAAGTCTTGTTTACCCAGGGTAGCCTCATCAGTATTAATACTATCGTAGAAACGCTTGTTATATAGATTTAAAATGGTGGACAGAGACGTCACATGGGTTTCACGAACTAATATCTCGGTTTTGAGAACTTGAACTATGACTCCACGATATCGGACTGGATCACTTGACATAGTTATTTGCATACCTGTCATTCCTGCATTTAAATACATGTCAACATGTATCCCCCAAACCAAAAATATTTCACAGATTTACAGCATTACGTAATAAATCGTGTTCCTTGTTTTCATATCTACATCAGTCTATTCTCCGATAATAATTATCTGCAACCTAGCTGGACAAGCTTAATTAATATCATAAATACATTTGATGTCCATGTCTTTTGCACGTCAATTGTTACAATAGCTTGTCAGCATGTTTCTCATTCTTTTCTCTCTCTTCTCTCTCCGACAAAGAAGAGGTTGGATTCTGGTAAAGATGAAAGTAATTTGCTTTTTAATCTAATTCTTTTGTCTGTCAGTTTGGAAGAATGTATATGGATGAAAAGGTTTAGATTTAAAAAATATTACGAAACATATTATGAAACGTTTTGATCAAAGTTCATGTTCATGTAGCCCATGAACAACATTTTGTCCAGAGTTAAGTAGTATACCTGTATATAAACAAAAAGGTGGAGAAATAAAGTCGTTCGGATGTGGTATCAAACGCCTCATAAAACTTTCGATCAATATTTTTTATTCGGTAACAAGGTTGATGAAAGAACTGTGTAATTTTTGTATGAAATGTTTCTCATTATATTCTTTCTGCTGTACTAACCCTCTATCAGGCAAAAGATCCTGAGAAAACTCTCAAACCACAAACATATTTATGGTTGTCCTTGAAGGCGACACTGTGCGACACCCTTTAACAGCGATTAACAGTAAATTCTCCCCAACCATTTTTAAATTTTCCCAACCGTTTTTCCTTGAAAATAAGACATAACACAGGCTGTTATATATCTGTCAACACGTAAATGTGTGGAATGGTATATAAAGCTAATTCATTGCTTTGAGACGATTTACATTAACCTAAAATGTAATTAAATTGTAATAATATAGTTGGGAGAATTAAGAAATTGATCAGATCAGTTTTTCCCCATTTTTATCATTAATAATGGGCCGTTTTCACTCAAACTTTCAGAATATCTTTAATTGTACATCTAGCATTGAAGTCATTACCTTAGCACCATTTCCTCTCATCTGGACAATGTTAACAAGTCCCTTTAAAACTCCATTGACGAAATTTTGTCCAATGGAAGGGGCTGCACACCACAACCCGATTGTCTTCACGACCAAGTTTTTTTCTGCCCCATAATGCTCCACATAACAAGAAAAAGCATTTTCGGGCATACAAGCCTTAATCATATAACTCTAAATCGTTTAGTTTGATTCGGTTCAAATATACAGCTTTTTAATTTTGAAAATAGTAATTTCTTGACTTGTAATTCACCGTCAACTGATCATTCTATAAAAAAGTTATTAAATATGTGACAAATTATTTTACTTACTCTAGAGTAGTCAGAAAATATTGTTATCATGTTACCAAAAACGAGGGCTAACTTCACCTGTTTGCCAAGACATGATTAAGGAGCCTGCAATTATCTGTTTAATTAACGCATGAATAATACATTTATTTTTTACCTCTTTAAATTTGTTTATTTGTGTGCTAGAGAAGAAGGTTGAGTGTAGGTAGTTCTGTGTAGAAAGCTAGAGAGCCAGGACAAAGTTTCACGACACTGTCATTAACGGCAAATTCACCGTCATCCCATTGATACGCGTGTAGTGTAATCAAAATGGGCTGTTAGAGAAGCTCATGGCGGGTTCGTGAAATGATGCCGAGATTAGTTTTCAATCTTGGGAGAGTCAGATGTAAGGTGATGGAGAATCCTTTTGCACCAAGAAGGTGAAAATACAAGCAATGATCATGAATGCATATAGTAAATTTCCGGTCAGTTTCAGGCACACGAGTTATGGAAGGAAAACCTAAATTAACCTTCAGCCGAGAATGTATAACTGATTCATATCTTAACTGTAAGTAATGTTTAATATTCCGGCCTTTCTTATATAATTTGTTTACCCAAATAATATTTAAAAAATCCAAATATCACTTGAAACAAATATATACTCGATATTTTCTTGAAAATGTATTTTCGGAAATATGGAGCAAAAACCAGTACATCAATTTAATTAACATCATATCATACAAAGTTAAATTCTGTAAATTTAGAATAGACAATTTTCAAGAAAATTGTACCCTGTCGCAGCGATGGTTTCAGGTTAAATTAAATACAATTTCTTGATTATAATTTCACATGGGGAAGATTCACACGTGCACCGTTAGCTAAATTCCTCGACCACATCGCCAATCTGACTCCTAACCGACCCGAAACCCAAAATTAATTGAAACATCCTATTAGTGAATTCAATTACTTTCAAGAATATGCAATATGATATTATCCAAAGAACATTGAATACTTTCACACAGATATACGTGTAATTATTGTTGGTTAAGCGAAACGCAATTTCTTCATTTCGATTTCACACTAGGAATATTCCCATTTATACACCCTTATTCTGCACTTTCTTAGCTACGATTTCACACCAGGAGTATCCACATTTAAACACGCTTACACTGGACTTTCTTAATATCGATTTCACACCAGGAATATTTGCATTTACACACCCTTACACTAAACTTTCTTAATTTTGATTTCATACCAAGAATATCCGCATTTAAACACGCTTATACACTGCACTTTGTATCTCGATTTCACACGAGGAATAACCGATTTACACACTCTAACACAAACTGCACTTTCTTACTTTCGATGGCAAAAATAGGTATATCCGCATTTACACCCTCCGTCACTGCACTTTCTTCATCAGTGATCTGTATGATTGCCTGCAGAAGAGGGAGATTCGCATGTTCACACTATTCTCTTTTAAATATTTCAGTCACACCGAAGAACTCTAAACCGACCCCAAACCGACCGATTTTTTGCAATACGGTGAAAAGTAATTATAAGTTCAGTTTGGTGTCGATCTGGTGTTAGTCTCATCAGTGTCACTGGGGTCTCACACGTTTAATTCAGCATTCTCTACTTATAACCAGCCCTCACATTTGTTTTAACGATATCATCTTAGAGAACAATGTACAGAAAGGCATTTTAGAAGTGATATAGTTTGAAAATACTTTTATTCAACTCATTTGGTGATCAGCAAAATGTCTTGAAAATCGACTTCTTCTTCAACTAAATTTGAATAAGAAATAGCTACGGGGACGGGAACTAAATCAAAGAACAGGAAAAACGCACGAAGTGATTGACCGAGACGTTCGTTACGTCATTCCATTCCGTTACGGGATTGGTTGGTTACATCTACATCAGGGACGAGTCTACATGCTATCGCCATTTCCGGCTCCTGGACATTAGAAGATAATAAACACGAGAAATAAAATCGATGAATATATAAATTTGAAACAATAAACACCAATAATAAATATAATCAGTGAGTACATTAATTAATACACATACAATGGATCTATGTTATTCTTCCAAACTGACATAAATTTGAAGAGAAAGCTCACCAATTATTTTCATTCTTGCCAGTTCACCAGAATATTTACACGTTTTCCCAAAACTCAATTGGTCTATTACGTAAGCATTGTTGATCAGTAATTTTCTTTTTTATTAACTATATTGCTAAAATCCCACATTCTAAAAAATTCTGGATTTTTTTTGGATAATCAAGATGAAAAAACGGAAGGGAAATGCAGAAGAAAAATGGTGAACTTACCGCTGCAGAAGACGACCTTGCCATTCCTCCTTCCACACCAGCATGAAGCGCCGAACATTGTGCATTCTGATTTGATGAAATACACAGAGAAATTGGTTAGTAAAATACTACTACTACTACTATAATTACTTCTACGTCTAGTACTACTACTATCATCAATATTATTATTACTATTACTGCTACTTCTACTGCTAATATACCCGTTTTAGTGACCACCTGTATATAAAGGCCATCTGTCAATAAATACAACCTATCTTTATACCTCGGAAAGTATTTCCTGTTGAAGACCAGTGTTATTGTCTCTCGTCAATGATCAGGTTTTACTGCAAACAATAGCATATCCGTATGAAGGACTGCTACATCATTATGTTCATGTATCGCTAATATTGTAACGACAGCATCTATAGTTGAGTATCCTTTTTCTATTATTCGTATGTCACACCACAAAACTGAATCAAGACCGATTGCAAACTGAGTGACTCTTTGCCATCCTTAGTATTGTAATTTTTTGGTTCTGTCTGTAGTCGGTCTCTAGGTGTGACTAGAGTCTAAATTGCAATCTTGGTTCTACTCACCCTTGTACTTCTTGAGGTTCCTTCCCATTCCCCTCTTTTCAGCCTCAAAGTACTCCGCCAGGTCAGCGTCCCTCTTCATGAAATCGAGATCGGTCTCGTCATTGATCTCGAACTCAGCGAGGGCGGCGACGATAAGGGCACAAGCGAGGACGAAAAACAGGGCCTTGGCCATTTTGTTTGAGGTTCGGTTTTAGTGGATAAAGCTGAAGACAATAACATCAAGAATGATTTTAGACAAATATTATACATTAAATATTCTTACCAGACTCTGACTCCTAGTACACAAGGCAAAGTGTTTAAGTGAAAATGGGAGACTCTTTCGAATAGAGAAGGAAGCCGAGCACGCAGTTGCAAATGCCGTACCTATTTCTGTTGCGGTGTATTTATTAGGGGTTTTAGGTATACTATCGTTCCTTGAAAATTGCGCAAATTCTACTTTGAATACATATACAACTTCTTTTTTTTAAGATTCAAAGATTTCCTACAACGTAACACTTAGTGATAATACATGTATTTGTTCGTAAATGTTCGAAATGCTCGCATTATCTTAAAAGGTCCTATCTCTTTTTTTTAGGGTATCATGGTCCCTCCCCCCCCCCCCTCACTGAATCTCTCTCACAACAATACCAACACAAGTAGAAAGCAGGAAGATCTTACCGATTTAACAGCAAAGTGAAGTCTGGAAGCGTTGTGAGGTTTGATCAGTATGGTTTGTCATATTTATAGGAAATCCCCCTCATTCAATGATCAAATTAGCTACCAAAAGTGAACCTTTTAAAGCGATGACCCCTCCCTGAATTTGATGAAGTAAAGACCGAAGGATATAGTAAAAGAAGTAATCTAGAACTAAGTATGATTACAAAGATTAAAAAAGAAAATGCAGACAAGACCAGATGGCTCAACAACTAAAGTACTTTAATCTATACGGTCGAGATTCTCTCCCTTCACAGTACATGACCCCATTTGCACTTTTGAGTCAGATGCAAGGTGTTATGGAATTCTTTTGCACCAAGAAGGTGAAAATTACAAGCAGTGCATCATGAATGCATATAGTAAATTCCCGGTTAGTTTCAGGCACACGAGTCATGGTAAGAAAACCTAAATTAGCCTTTAGCCTAGTATGTATAATTGTAAGTAATTTTACATATTGTACTTAGCACAACGAGTTTAAACAAATGCAGAATTCTTCGTATCATTTGAAATAGATCTATACTATACTCGGAAATATGGAGTAGAAACGAATACATCAATTTGATTAATATCATAATCATATTAAATCAAAGTCTGTATATTTAGAATAGACAATTTCCAAGAAAAATGTACATTTTTGCGTCGATGTACTTTAGGTTGAACTAGACACAATTTCTTGATTTCGATTTTACATGAGGAAGATACACACGTGCACCATTAGCTAAATAATTCCTCGAACACACCGCAAATCCTACTCCTAACCAACCCAAAATCTAAATCAATCAAAATTTATCCGGATACATGTTTGCTATACAAGCGTTATTATTGTCATTATTATGTGAAATGATTCTATGGAGTATATTATTAACAACAGTAAGGTTTCAAATTAGTTACTACATATAGGCCTATCTGTCTTGTTATTCATTATCACTAACATAACGTTTTGGTACACTGTTTTGGTATATTTTAAGATGTTTATTTCATCACTTTCGTCAAATATTGAGGATCCTTCCGTTGTGGCACTGTGTAAGACAAAACAAAAAAGTCATGGCTGTAATTTGTACCAATTAGACTATAAAGAATATTCGTATCCGGACACATACCCCCTGGAAATCAAACCCCGGATAACCCCCCAGTCAACTACCCCCTAGGACAACAACCCCCTAGGTCAAATACCCCCTATTGCAACCACCCTCTAGCGCGACTACCCCTCGGACAACTACCCCCGGACTACTACCCTCTAGGACAACTACCCTCTTGGACAACAACCCCCGGAAAACAAACCCGGATAACTACCCCCTAGGACAACTACCCCCGGACAACTACCCCAGAAAACTACCCCTAGGAAAGTTGACCGGGGGGTAGTTGTCCTAGAGGATGGTTGTCGTAGGGGTAGTTGTCTGGGGGTAGTCGCCCGGGGGTAGTTGTCCTAGGGGGTAGTTGTTCTAGGCGGTAGTTGTCTGGGGGTAGTTGTCCCGGGTTGTAGTCGTCCTCGAGGGTGGTTAGCCCTAGGGGGTAGTTGTCCTAGGGGGTAGTTGACTTGGGCTGGTTATCAGGGGGTGGATGTCTAGGGGGTAGGTGTCCTCGAACCTAAAATATTATATAAAGTATAAATAAAATGGATGTAGGTGAGTAATAAGTGCCCATCTGGATATTGAATACTATGAAAACTCTGAAAAATCTTACATAATATACAAGGTAACATTCCATTTACCATACCGGTTAATAATATGATAACATTTCAATTATCATTAATCAAATATCTCCAAAATGCTCAGTGCACCTCATATTAACGATCAAAAAAACGTTTTCAGTCTACGCATGTTCATTTGAAATAGAGAAATAGTGTATGACATGTTTTATACATGAAATCTCAGTGTTTGTGGTAAACAATGTTAACCAGAGTGGCTAGAATGCTATTGTTAAACAGCTGCTCAGCACCATGTTGTAGCAATCTCAAAACATTCGATCAGAAATATATCTTAAGTTGCGGGCTAGACGATTTGAGTTCAAGAATATAGTTTGTCATATTTGTTAGCAATCCTTACCATAACACCTGGTTAAAATAAGTTTTGAACAAATCGAATTCAAACTGAAGGTATGTTTACATATAATCCCTTTTCTTCCATATTTAACTATAGATACTGATCTTCGTGTAATATCAGTAATAATTGATCTATTCATGACATTTGAGATTTCTTCTAATCCGTATATTACCAACATTGACCTATGGCTTTGACCTATGGCGGTGACAACTCGAGATATTAATGAAATCACAAACAAAAAGCAGTATTCATAAAAAATAAATACTAAATAGCAAAGGCTTTAAGTAAAAGTATAAGCTAGATAAGTGAAATGTGTAGCTAAAGTAATTGCTAAAAAAAAAAATCACATTCATAACCTTTCACTTTAAACATGATAACACGTGTTACTTGCCGCGGCTAGCACGTTCTCAAGTACTTACAGAAGCAGCTCCCCAAAATAGTGTGTGTTTTTTTGAAAATCTCAGCAACGCTAAGTATATTTCTGAATTATTCATAAATGTTACATTCAGTTACTATTTTCTCTTATATAAATTGTAGGCTAATTGGGAATATAAGATTTAAAAATATTTAATTTAAAGATTTGTTTATATAATTTTGAAACAACCTCATTTACCCCATTATTGAATTAACAAAATGTTGAATATGAATAATTATGCTGATTGTTGTTGTAAACAGATGCAAACTAAAATGGAAATGCCATAAATTGAGTAAAAAGGGTTATGCGTTTCACCAGACAAAGTACATTTCATGCCTTAAATGTAAGAGGCGTAAGGGGTGAAGACTACTACTTGCTTCATAAAAGTAGCATATTTTCATCAACGTACAGAAGTTTTACTCTAAAGTATATAGAAAATCAACTACATAAAATGTAAATAGATCTGCCGCAAATAGAAAAATGTGAATAATATATTAAGCAACTTTATGTTATATTGCAAGAATGTGACTTTGTTGTAGAAAATATTATGTAATTTGATATTTAACCTATTCCAAATAGAAATACCAATAAACCAAACGATATTATTTGTAGGTAAGGACATAGGAAACAAGAAATATACTCTCCTGAATATTATTTTAAATTATGCAAAACATGCAATTTATAAATGTTACGTTAAAAAGATTGTTAATGATTATGTTTATAACCCTCATACTTTGTTTTTTTTAATTCAAGTCGTTGCTAAAATTATTTATAAGGTATGAATGAGTTAGCGAAGAAAATAATACTAAGCTGGAAGAATAGTTGAATATTCTTTAATTTTAGCCTATGTTATGTTTCACTCAATCACTGAGTAATTAATGTAAATATGTATTGAAATTATGGAAATCAAAACCTCGCTCCAGGATAACAAGAAAAAATGGATCTGCTTGTAAAACACTAGATTCTGCTGAAATATCGCTTTGGTTAATAAAAATTCAAGCATTTACTAATGAAGAAGCCTTTACTTATAAGAAAGTAGTAACTACTTTGGCTTAAAAATGTAGTATTATTTAACTTTTTGTTCTCATTTTACCGAAAATCAATCATATTTAATTACTATTTTGTATAATTCAGTCGTAACATAAACTGCTGATTTTCAGTAAAATGTGAACAAAAGATGAAAATACCACATTGTACAAATTGCATTTTGTTTAGCTTCTTAGACCATCTGGTCCTGTAGGTGAAGTACAAAATTGTTATACGCTTTATTTAAAATCTAACAAGTAATACGACGGAACATAGAGTTTGGTCTTACACATTGCAATAATTGAGCTTATAATGATAAAGGAGGTCAAAAACATGGGAGGCATTTGATATTTTGTCCCCCCCCCCCAAGAATGACGCCTATGCTTAATTTCGCACTTTCTTAATTTTGATTTTACACCAGGAATAACCGCATTAACACACCCTTACACTACACTTTGTAAATCTCGATTTCACATCAGGAATAACCGCATTTACACATAATTACACTGTAATTTCTAAGTTTCGATTTCACACGGGAAATATCCGCATTTACACACTCTAACACTGCACTTTCTTCATCATTGATCAGTATGTTTGCAGACGAGGGAGATTCGCACGTACAAACACTTTACTCTTAACCATTTCAGTCACATATACAAACACACTCCAAACCGCAACCAAACCGACCCCCAAACCAACCGATCCTTAGCAATTCGGTGTAAAGTAGTTATAGGTTCGGTCTGGTGTCGATCTGGTGTCAGTCTCTTCAGTGTCACTGGGGTCTCACACGTGTAAATTCAGAATTCTCCACTCATAATCAGCCATCACTTTGTTTTAACGATATTATCTTTAAGACCAATGTACAGAAAGGCATTTTAGAAGTGAAATAGTTTGAAAATACTTTTATTCAACTCATTTGGTGATCAGCAAAATCACTTGAAAATCAACTTCTTCTTCTACTAAACTTGAATAAGAAGTAGCTACGGGGACGGGAACTAAATCAGAGAACTGGAAAAATCGCACGAAGTGATTGGCCGAGACGTTCGTTACGTCATTCCATTCCGTTCCGGGATTGGTCGGTTACATCTACATCAGGGACGAGTCTACATGCTATCGCCATTTCCGGCTCCTGGACATTAGAAAATAAAAAACACAATAAATAAAATCCGTACAAATATTATTTACATGTTTACCAGAGCTCAACTGTTATAATTTATGACGTATGTGCTATTGGTCGGTCAGTAATTTTATTATATTATCTATTAACTATATAAGCTAAAAAATAGCTCAAAATCAAAAATTCTAAAGAATTCTGGAGAATTTCGGATAATCAAGAAGGAACAACGAAGGAAAATGTAGAAGAAAAATTATGAACTTACCGTTGCAGAAGACAACCTTGCCATTCCTCCTTCCACACCAGCATGAAGCGCCGAACATTGTGCATTCTGATTTGATGAAATACACAGACAGATTGGTTAGAAAAATTCAACTACTACTATCATTATTAATTCTACTTCTAGTACTACTACTATTATCAATAT